GTTTTATATTATAACAAATAATATTTATTTAAAATTATTTGTTTTTAATGAGATTATAAAGTTTATTATAAAATGTTGATAAAAAAATATAGCACATAATTTGCATAATCTACCAAGCGTTGCATGCATAATTTGATGTTTGTTGCCGCATAAATCTGGGGTCTCTAGTTTCTTCTATAAGAACCATAAGATTGATTTCATACTTCTCTCATAATTTTTCAATACTATGATGGGTTGTATTCCCACTTTATCATCCCAATCATATACATTGAAATAATAGTCAAGATTTAGTTTTTCAAGTTTTTCGAATATGTGTTTGCTAACTGGAACTAGCTTTCCATCCAGAATATTACAATAATTAACATGATCTTTATATGTTCTTAGAACTGATAACCATTGAAGATTATTTTGCTTACTTCTGTGAGTTAAATGCACATATGGACAGTTATTATCCTTGGTCAATGTTATCAAGATAGGTCTGATTCATATCATCAACAATCATTTCATCAACAGTCATTTTGTCAACACTCATTTTGTCAAAAGTTTGTTTCATCAAAAGTTCATTTTGTCAAATGTTCATTTTGTTGAAAATTTGTTTTGTTGAAAGTTCATTTCATTGAAAATTATTTCATCACAAAAAAAAAAACTTCATTAAACAAATTTCTCCTCACACTTCCCACACACTCCACTTTCCTCACCTAATTTCTTAACTAACTTCCCACACTCCTCACATCTAACTTGTTCAGTCTCTGGCTCAAGGATGAAATAATTTTTGACAAAATGAACATTCAACAAAATGAACATTCAATGAAACAAACTTTCAACAAAATGAACATTTGACAAAATGAACTTTCAACAAAATGAACTTTCAATGAAACAAACTTTCAACAAAATGGATGTCAACAAAATGATTGTTGATGAAATAAGGATACCGGCTGCAACTTTTGATGATGGTTGCTACCATCTTTGTGTCATATAAAAATGATTGCAACCACTGGTTGCAACCACCTTTACAACCATTTTGTTTCCTTTTTTGGATTGCGACAT